TCCCGCCTACTTTCCCCTCCTCTGGGAGCACCCACCACCCCAGGCCTTCTAAAGCTACATTTCCAAAACTACATACTCCTATTCCACTACCAAAAAAAAATCTTTTCTCAGGGAACAACACAACACAGCACCCTCTACCCCACTCCCTGGAAACACAGCGCTAACCAGGCTGGTAGCCCCTTCCCAAAACGTACCTCCTACATCTTTCCGCCAGCGTGCTCCAAAGCCCCCGGTCCCCTCTGGGCATCTGCGCGCTCCGGCTCGGAAGCCGGGGAGTCAGGCGAAGCAAGAGCGAACCCAGAACAATTTTCAAGTGCACCGGCGGGTCCAAACTGTTGGTAAACTGTACCTCGTCCACTCGCCACCACTTCCGTCTTTTAACACCACAGCCAGGCCGGCAACTCTAAGGGGTTCCAAGTTGCAATGCTCCTTGCAAGATAGGGGTATTCGGGTAGGTGATAATGAAAGGTTCTGGGCGGGGGCTGCCACAATTCCCAGCCCTCTTGCAATGCTGTCCTGAATTAGACACACACACGCACACACACACACACACACACACACACACACACACACACACACACCCCTCTTGGGATTTCTGTTTTCTAAGCGGGGAGAGGGGGAGATGGAGGATGAGAAGGGGTACGGGTAGAGAATAGGGTGTGGCGATTCGTGGAGGGAAGCAGTAGGGAGTTAAAGCCACATCTCTGCCAAGGACAGCGCCTGGTGTAGGCGCAGCGCGCCTGCCCGTCGCTTTGTTGTCAGCGTCCGGGTCGCTGGCGCGCACGCTGCGCGCAAACACGCCCCCCAAAATCATCGCTCTGGCCAAGAGGGCCCTACAGCCCCCAACCTCTTTGCAGAAGAAAGAAACTTGTACACGGGCGCCAGGATGCTGCGGTTTGTCTATGAGGACGATTTTCTAAATAATGATGATCCTTAAATAAAAGGATCAATAGTATTTTTCTTCCACTTCGTTGGAAATAACAATTCCTGTTTTCTATCAGTCCGCTAATATGTGGCGAAGGCGGTGTGGGGGGTGAGGGGGAGGAGAGATTAGTGATCTAGGCAGAGAGCGCGAGGAAGGTGCAGAGGCGAGCTGCGAAGGGGACCGGCTGGGGGACCTGGTCCCCGACGCCATTTGCGGGGCAGCGGCGCCCGCCTTACCTGTGGATGCAGTCTCCATGGCAACGGGCGGCGGCCGGGCGGGGCCGGAGCC